TATCTTGTTATTACTCCATGATGAAAACCCTTAAACTTCCCGTCTTCTTTCTACCTTTTACTGTGGATTCAACCCTTTTTTCAAGTGTTCTCTGAGACTTCTCTGCCATCATGTCTCCACATTCAGCCTTGCTTACTATGTGCTCCTGCACAGCTTAAAAACCTTCTCTTTTAAGGTTCAATCTTAGTCCATAGTCTGTTTCTTTCTTTCACTATAAAAGCTGTCTTTTCTCCCAGTCTCCCTCCCTCCTCCTAACCCTTTTCACATCATTCTTTCTCTCCCAAAGATCCAGTTGCACCTTGTAGCTCTTTGAAGCCACCACCATGGGTGGTATGATAAAATGTCCCATCAAGGTGCTCGAGCACCTTGTTCTCATCCACAAGCCATTGCCTTGTATTATGACTACAGAAGTCTTTTTCCTGCCTGTTCACTCTTTTTTGCTCTATCTGAATCTATTGCTTGAGGCAAAGTGCCTTGCTGTGGCTTCTTCCTGTCCTGCACCTCATTGCCTCATGTCCTCTGTGCTTTCTTTGTGTCTTATTGCCTATGTCTTTACCTCTTAGAGCCTGTTAAGTAGTCCTTCTTTTGCCACCTTTCTCCCCTTCCTCCTTCCAAACTCCCTTTTTCCTCTTTCCTCTTTAGTTTCTTTTATCTTACAGCCTATCTTTTATACTGTCTCCTTCACAGCCTATGGAGCTCTTGGACTGAGTTCTCTTAAGTACAGAGTATTATTTTTTCTTTACTCTTAAATGGTGCTTTTCTATTCTGCATGCATGGTTCTATGTAGCAGTAACTCTGCCTCCACATATTCAGTTCCTTTCAGTCTGGGGTGATAGAGGGCTCTGCATCACCATCTGCTATAATGTCCTGTGTATTCAGTATTGGTGGAAGCTGAAAAGTACACATGATGTTTCATTCCAGAGGAAGCTGCAGTCTGGTGGTGGGCTGTAAGGTCTGTATACCGTGAAGTCATGAAATGGTCAGGCTCTTATAGGATTAATGTACTAGACAAACAAACAAACAAGCTCTATAAGCAGAAGGCTCAGAAATTAGTGTAATGTTTGATAATTGTGTGGGCAGGGCACAGGGAACATTAAGCTTATCATTGTTGATTAACAGTACTGGGATTTCAGGTGATAAATCTCCTGGGACAGGAGGACCGTGAGAGAAATGGGAGCCTTCAATCATCCCTCCCACCACACTATCAGAGCTTTCACTATAAAGGCAGTATGATGAGAAGGCTCAGAATTATATTTCTGCATCCTGAAAAGTATTCAGAAGTAAAAATAAACACAGAGAAAGGGACACCTGAGAGAAAACTGGTAAGAGGAAGGAGAAGGATAGATGGCTGACTGAAGAAGAGACCCATCTTGGGTGAGAGATCTTCTAACTTCTATTCCTTTCTTTTTCCTCACCTAAGACCCTAATTTGGGCTGTATCTGTAGTTTCGTCTGTCACAAAGGTGTCCTGCTTGAGGGAAGTATCACAGGAACACACTTCGGTGTCTCTCAATGGTCTGTATGAGCAAGTTGTGAATCTTTCCTTAGGTGTGCTGTGGGGCAGTCTAAAAATGTTTATGAGCCCTTTCAAGAATCTTAGGTGCACCTGAGGAGACAAGCCGTATGTACAGGTCATCTGTGTTAGTGACTAGTGCAAGGTGGTTATTAGAGCTTCCTCCTTTTTACATCTTCCTTCTGTTCTGTTCTCGGCTCCTGAGCCTGCTGCTAAACTTCTCAAGCAGCAACAATGTTACACTGCTGTGTCCTGGTAGAAGGGTAGAGCTAGGGCTTGGTAGCAGAAAGCAGAACAGATGAGCATTTAAGAAAGTATATAAAGAACAACTGTGGCAGGAAATTACAGGAAAAGTGGTAGGGGAGTTTTGACAGCAGGGACTGAGCAGCAGCACTGCAGAAAGGCAGATCTTTTCAGGGTGTGCTCAGTATTCTGTAGTTGTGGGACTTTGCTGATCTGAAAACATGGACAGTGAGTAGAGCTGGAAGAGAATCTTGCATTAGATCAGCTGTGCCAGCTGGAAAAAGTGGACAAGCTGTTGGGTCTACAAGTCCTTCTTTGGGTGTGAAATAGAAGCAGCAGGTCTCAAAGCAAATACAAGTTGAGTGTAGCTGCTTTGAATTTAACTAGACTAGTGTCAGTGAGGCTGTAACAAGACATTGTTGGTACTTTGTGGAATAGAGAGGATTGCTGATAGCACCCTGAGAGCTGGCAAGTGCTTTCCTCATAGAAGAAAGAGAGAGAGGTGTGATTTATCAGCTGTGGAGCATGATAAGGTTCAGGACACAGGAAATAATGTGACATAAATCCAGTATCGCTACAGATGTCATATATTTTGTCATGCACTAGAATGGTGAATTTAATTTCTCAGTCTTCTCCTTGGTAGATAATATCTGGGTGGAGAGATCAGAGGTAGAGATGAGGTTTGATGAGAAGTGCTCTCCCCCACAGTCCTTACCTGCAGATGTCCTTTGAGATAGGTCCTTAGAGTGGACACGCGTGCCACTGTTTCACCTGTATAGTTATCAGTCTACCATTTGGATGAGGTGTATTATGCTGTGGAAAGGACAACTGAGAGTGCAGGGGTTTTGTGGGTTGTCTTCCTTATGATAGTAAAGGGTTCTTATTTGAGTAGCATCTAGAGCCATATGGTGAATGTTGGCCTTGAGGTCCTTCATGCTTTTATTGATGAGGTGAGAGGCTGGGGCCAGTTTGGAGGCTGAGAGGAACAGTTCTTGAAAAAAACAAACTTTCAGGGTAGGATCTTCTCTTAGGCTGTAATTGTATCATCATTTCCCATAGAAATTCCACAACAATATCATACAAAACAGGCAGTCGAGTTTGATTAGCTGACGGTAGGGGGTTCTTTTTTAAACTGAAGCAATTTCTGATGTGCTGTTCTTCTGCCTGTTGAAAAACAAGACCTAGAAGAGTGCACCTTTGGGTAAAGTTTCCCATTAGTACTCCAGTAGCTGTGATCATGAGTGTTCTCCTCCAGTAAACATAACAGTAACTGAAGATACAGTTCTGTATTACAGCTTTGATGTTAGCTGGGGCTTACTGTGGTTGGCTTTCAGGTTTCCTATATATGATGTATGATTATATTCTATACATTTTTTTATATTCTTTACACTATACTGTGTCTGCTATGCATAATTTTTTATGTAAGCCATAATGACACCGGTCTTCCAAAAGCATCTCAATAAATAGGGAGCACTTAATGCCTTTATGAGGGAAACCTAAGAGGGTATCAGAATGCTCTTCTCTGATTCCCTAGACACACTTAGAAACTCTTTTTCAAGATGGTTCATTACAAGTTTTGTCCTACTGATAGGCCACAGTCTTCCTTCAGGAAACATTGCTTATTGACAGTAAAGTCAGTGATGGTGAGAATGAAACAGATTTTGAGGCAGCACTGATACTGCTTTTGTAAATATTCAGAGCTTGCCTGGCCTGCCACCAGGTGTGGGTGGGACAGAGTAGCAATACTCATATAGATATGATTGCTACTGGATGTGCATATGGATATTGTTAGCAGAAACACTGGAGGAGGTAGGGAGGTGCTTTATGGAGGAAATCAAGTGTATATTCCTCTCGGAACCTTTCTTTGTACCCCATTCTCAAGGACCATGTACACTGAGAAAAAGCAAAATGAACCTCCAGGAGAAATGTTTTACAGAGGTCTGCAAAATGAAATAGTGAGACTACTGTTCTGAACACAAAAGAAGGGTGTTTTGCCTCTCTCTCCCCCATTCTGCCTCCAAATCTCTTATCCTGCAATGTGAGAAACTTGGAAACCATTATTCTAGAGAGGTGATAGTGTACAAGAGGATGAAGAAGGAGTTTAATAGCAGGTCTTTGGTGATTCTGAGGCATGCAGGGTCTTCTTTTATACAATTTCTAGGGTCTTGAACTCAAAGCTCATTGTAGATTAGTAGCCATCAAAAGACATATGGTTACAGGCAGCACACTGACAGTACTGGGAGGTGTCCCTAGACCATGTTTTTGGAACATGCTTCTCATTCCTATCACTGGTTGGTAGCTCACTGGTGTTGGCTGAGCTCATTGCTTTTTTTGCCTGTCCAGGAAACAAGTGCCGTAGTGGAGAGGAGAAGCTGTTGAATGCTCTAGCCTGTGGAAAAGTGAGCATCAAGAAGAATAAATTTCTCTATATACCCATGGCTGAACACACACAAAGCAGTTTGATAACATTCTTCAAATGTGTAAAGTGTTCCCCATAAGGGCACATGGGTACATTACATTACAGCTGAGTTTAAGCTGTAATGCCCAGCAGTTTACAGGGATGCCTGACTTCTCCATTAGGCCTTGCTGCTTCTCTTGTGGACCATGGACTTAGAAAAATTGGGACATTGAATGTGCACCCATCTTCTTCTATCTCACCGTAGTTGCTGGCATCTTTAGGATTGTCACTTAGTCTTTCGGACACCTGATATCTGGGGAAAGAATGAGGAAGCCCACTGAATTTTGTTCTCATTGCACATATAGCTTGCTCAGAATAGGGAAATGTGAATGAAGAGATCTCCTGAATAATCATTTCTGCCTCTTCCTGTCTGCTTTCTGCCTCTGTACTTCTAGCTCTATCTTACCACCTTCTTTCCACCCCCCTCCCCTTCCCTCTCCTTCAGGAGTTCCCCTCTTGCTCACACCTGATATTCAATCCCAGCAGAGTTAGTGCCTTTTGCTGAGATCATGTGGCAGAAGAAGGTTGCTATAAATATAGTTGAGCCCTGCAATTGCTGCCTTTGGGTAGGAAGGGGAGAAAGTGAGAGAAGCACAAGGAGGAGGAGGGGCAGAGAGAAAGTGAGTGCAGCAATAGGGCAAATCAGAGTGGTCTGAGGAGAGAAAGAAAGAAGAGGGAGAGCAGAATTAAGTGTGGAGGCCATGCACTTGGCCAGAACATGAGGTGGCTCTAGGTAAGGCTCAGAGCAACAGCTCTGTTACAACTGAGTGTGAGGAAGAGTAGAGGCATGGAAGGCTCAGAGACCATGACGCAGGAGCCCAGATCGAAGTCAGCTTTGTGGGGGGGCACTCCGCAATACAGCTATGTCTGCTTTGAGAAATGCACCCGTTACGGGATACCCATGGAGGCAGGACATGAGGCCAGGGGGACAGGGGACGACCTGCACTGCCTGGAGAACTCCCTCAGCTACCCACAGGTAGGGCTGGACAACTTGGACGTTTGTGGCAGCACAGGTTTTCCAGGGATCACACAGGCTCTTGGGGTTCCCAGGACGGTGCTGGTAGAGCACCCTGTCCATTCCCAATCCTACCACCTCTCCCCTTCTTTTGCCGGCTCCCAGGTCAGGCATTAACTTTCATGGTTGTAACTACATTCATGAGTGCTATCAGCATTTTGAGTCAGGGGTTGTTTTCACCTGCCATGGACACAAAGAGTTAGAGTGGACAAGCTGGGATTGGGAAAATCATACAGTCCATTCATATATTTGTAACAGCAAAGAGAAACTGCAGCTGCCTTGAGCTGCGTAGTGAGTGAAATTAAGTAAGTAGAAGAGTGAATAAAACCAAACAGAACAGTGATGTATATAGATGGGTATCTAGCTGCACAGCTGTATAGACAAAGTGATGCAGAGCTCTGTTCTCACTTTTCTTTGACCAAAAAGCGCTTCATGGTCACAGACCATGTATTTTGATAGTTTTGGTAATTCTTAGGAGAGCTGTTAAGTGAGTATTTTCTAACCCTTAAACTTTGACCTGACTCTTGCTCTGGTTCATACAAGCACTGGTTCAGAAAATGTACTCTGCTTAAGCTTCTTCTTCTATTATCCTCTGTATCTCCTCTACCTCTCCTTCTGGAACGGCCTCTTGCAAAGCAGAGTCCTGGTGTCTTATTTCCTACCACTTTGCTCAGACTGAGCTGACCTAAGGGGGCTTTAGAGCAATGAAGGATCCAGTCAAATGGTGAGAGAGAACATGTGAATGTGAAATTCACACCGAGTGGATGTTTCTTCTTACTTCAATTCAAAGCCCCTTACATGAATACTTAGGTGAACAATCAGGGGATGGGGGAGGGGATCCATTAATCATCTCCTGAAGACTTTCTTGATTTAGCGATAGGAAAAAAGCCACATTTGCCACCAAGAAAACCTCTTCCAATAGATAAACATCCCAACAGAAATTACATGTGCCACATTGCAACAGGCACACATGATACAGTGAGGCAATACAACTCCCCTTTGTGCTCTTTCTGCCCTTTTGCTCTCAGCTCCAGAGGCATGCTGGCCAATGCATGTAGATAAACAACCTCAAGTACCAACAAGCAGGCCATCAAATGCATTCCCATGCATATCTTCAGGCAATAATGCCCCCAAGCAACCATGCATTTATAAACACAATTTGCAGTCTAAAAGTCAGACAGCTGTATTTATAGATTTACTGGAAAATATGCCCTAGAAATACTTGTATATAAACAATCATGTGCACATGTGCATGTATGTTTATGTATGAAACTTTGTATGCAGACATATTCTGACATAACTAGGCTTGCTGTATATATATATATTTTGCTAGCCATGCATGCACATGCAGATAAAATATAAATATGCATGCTAATGTACATCTTGTACAAACGTGCACACCTGCATCATTAGCATGAAAAACAATCTGTTGCACATGTTATTATCCATTTCCATGCAGAGTAACCATTAAGATTTCTTTCCCCACTGTCATGTGTAAAAAGAGTTGTCAGAGAGAGATTTTGATTCTGTTGTGCCCTTTTCTTCTGCTAGCTGTTGCCTTCTGGTTTATATGTAGGTTAGAAGCTATTTCAGACTGGCTCTGTGATTTGATATAGTTTACACAAGCCCCAGAACAGTGAAATCTTGGTCTTTGGCCTGGGACCTTCAGCGAACTGATGGTCAAAAAACATCTAGTGGTTAATAGGTAATAAAATAGTAATAGTAGTGTAATAATAGTAATATATACATAATTTTTTACAATTAAGATAAAAGCAGATATATGACAGATGACGTAATGTACATTGACAAAAATATACGTTATCATACATTGTAGGATTTTGTATTGTTTTCTTTCTGCATGAGAAAGCAGCTACAGCTGGTGAAGTATTTAGAAGCTGTGTTATTCGTGACTTTAGAAAGGGTGTTCATGGCAGAGAGCTCACCCAGCAATACACAGATGGGTGTAGTGGGAGGGATGTGTTATTACAAGGAATTAGGCAATGCAGTAATATCAAATAACAGGCTTACAGAAAGATGTAGGTGGGAGAGGCCTCTGGAGGTCTCTAGCCCAAGACAGATCTCCCCTTTGCCTTCTCTTCTTCAGGAAGAAGTGTTGTTTTGTTGCTTCCCCCTGCCCCTCACAGGTATCTCATTGGCTCTATGTCTGAGAAGTCAAGCCTAGACTTTTAACTGGCATTGAAAAAGCTGACTTACAAAGTGAGTTTGGGGAGGTTTCACCTTTAAGACTAAGTATGGCTACTGTTTTGTGATCCATTGGAAAAAAAAACTGGGAAGGCAATTTCAGGAACAGCAGGATGGCTGCAAGGTGGGAGTGAGAGCGATGAGTAGTAGAGCCCAAGGCTGCCTCAATAGCCAGAAGCAGTAGATTAAAAACATGCACTGGCAGTGCTGTGGGAAGGGATTTCAGGACTGAAGTATGCTGTAGAGAACACACTGTTGAGTGTGAATGGCATGGGGAATTGCTTATGCTTTGGGCTGGGAAAGAAGGGCAGCTTTATGTAGGTGCTGAGCACTCAGTAAACAGCTCCCGGGAAAGTGTTGAGGTTGTGGTGCTGCACACGTGTTCTTCCCTGGGAATTCTGTGCAGCTTTTCCTCCATTACTGAATGAAACTTCCCCATCTTTTTTTATTTCAAACCCTGCTTAAACGCTTGACATGCTTCCTCCCTGAAGGGGAACTTTACCCTGGTTGCACTTTGTCCCTGGATGGTTTCTGTTTATTCCCCTTCCCCTTTCCTGCCTTTAGTGGTATTTATACCTTCAGCTGGTTTGGCACCATTACCACGGTCTCACTCAGCATTTATCCAAGCTAGGCTTGATAGTACCTTTTCTGGCACAACCCTTGAGGTGTTAATTGATACTTTTAAAATTCTCTCCAGTTTTGATGTGCTCAGAAACGATCTGTTCCTTGTGTTAGAGAGGGAGCATCAGAAGAAGGAGCAGTCTAAATCCTACCGTGTTACATTTTTAAAGTTTACATGCCTTCTAATGGAGTAGATATTTCTCGCCTAACCTAATTTTGCTTTGAGGTCATCCTCTTGTTTCTGGATTCTTTCTGTCCTACAATCTCCTACCATTTTAAATATTGCTAGAGTCTTTGGGAAGCAAAAACTCGTGTATGAAGCATGTTGTGTTGAGACAAAATCGTTCTGCAGGACAGAACCTTCATTTTTGTGCCTGACAAAACAACTGACTCCTTTTTCCCTGTATCCTCAGTGCATCATTTTCCAGCCAGATAGAAACAGTGAATGAGGATATTGTATGAGGACTTTTACCGTTCATCCTGTTACACTGTCATGCTGTTCCATCTGGGCAGATGGAACTAATTTGAATATCATACGTGGCACAGGTTTGAGTTCATAGTTTGGATTAAGCTGCATTTGATATAAAACCATCTTTTATGACCATGTCAAGGCAGTGAAACATTAACTGAGGTGATATGAAGATGCATTTGTCTAAAATCTGCTAGTACTTGGCATTTCTGGCTGAAATAGACACAGCAAGAGAAAGAAGGAGCAGTCTACTATTTAGGACTGGATTCTGTATTTGACAGCTTACCTTGTATACAGAGTTCTTCAGCCTGATGTTTGCCTGTCCTGTCTGTACTATGAGAGTCATAGCATGGTCATTCCTCACTGCAGAGCATGCATTGCTTAATTTGCCTAGAGTATGCTGATAATCATATGGTTAATAATTACATTAAATTTGTCAGCTTCCAGTGCAGTGATGAATGGAAGAATGCATTTAGATGTTCAGATAGGAACTCTTTGCTAAGAGTCAGCAGCCACCTTAAGAACAAGATGATTTAACGAAGCCTGGATGTTGTTTTTTTCCACAGAACGCACACTAGGGTTTTTGAAGGGAGCATATGGTTCAAGTGTCTCTTGAAGAATATATGCAAATAAATAAAGTACTTATTACTTTGGTCATATCTGTTATGTGGAAATAAGAACTGGTAGAGCACTGAAACAGGTGTTTAGAGAAGCTGGAGAATTTCCACCCTTGGAAATGTTCAGGAGTTGTCTGGGCAAGGTTTTGAGCAACCTGATCTGGCTTTGGAGTTTGCATGCTCTGAGCAAAGTCTTGGACTAGAAACTTGCAGACATGCCTTTCAGCGTAGATCCTTCACCGAGTCTCTGAATCTATTTGATCTCAAGGAAACAGGAGCAACATCTCCTGTGTCACTTTGAAAGGAGGAGACACAAAGCTGTCAAATAGAAATGTCTCCTAAGAGCATGGTAGAGCTTTATATCTCTCATATGTCTGTCATTCTCCAGCTGAAGTGTCTGATTTTGTGGATCAAAACATTGCTCACTCTCCTCCTGCATCTTAGAGAAGCAAATGTGCTGGGGAGGAAGCAAAGGGTCTCCTTGCGGGTGGGAATTGCCAAGGTCAGCAGGTGGTAGCCTGACCTCAGGTAAAGCCAAAGCTTGTTCATTGAAGGACATGTGAGGAGGAGCGGGTCATTCTTTGCTTCTCAAATGCACACCTTCCCCACCTATACTATGAGTGAGGTAGGATAGCTGCTCTTCATGGGAGTACAGTCAGGATCATTGAAGCTCCCTTGAGATCTTGTTGACGAGACAGCACAACTGCCAATTTACTACAGATCCATGTGTGAAATGTCATTGGTAAGCGCATGTAGCTAGTTTTGAATTGCATATGACCCAGTGCATTTCAAGATTAGTAGCTGAAGACAAAGACTAGATTAAGTAGCTAGGAAATTCAGAGGAACTGGATATATGTGAGGATTTAGCATGATGATTTAGGTAAATAACGGGAGGAGCTGTTCAGCACCCTGTGATATTTCTGAGCTGATGCTGCTTCTTTTCCTCCACAGGCACCATCAGTGGCTGCGTGCCCTGTTAAACATTCCTTGGCAGCAGGAGGAACAGATGCAGGACATTCATGCAGCCTGTTTGATAGTGTAATACCTCTCAAAACCTTCAGAGACGTTTCACAGTGCTGCTGACATCTGTGAGACAGCCCTGAGGGTGGCAGCCTCATGTGAACTCTTTGACCTTCTTTTTTACCTCCAGAAAGCCTTGCTCCATCTATTCAGACCACAGCCAGCTCTTTTTCCAGATGTTAGAAAACAGTTAATATTCTGTGATCGTATCTTGTACCCCAAAAAGGAGAAGCAGTAGATCTGCCTTTTTGTCTTTAATATGATTTCTGAAGGAGCTTTTGCCTTACCTTTTCCCTTTGATCTCTTTTGCTTTCTGCTTCTCTAGCTTTATGGCCAATACACAGACCAGATAACCAACTTTGCAGACAAGGAAGCAGCAAAACTACTGAATAAGAAGCAGGCCCAAAAGAACAATGAAAGACCCCTGAAACGTGATAGTCAAGTACAGATCAAAGAAGAGCACTATTCCAAATGTCAAGGTAGGGACAATTCATCTTTCATTACCCTACGACCAGATACTGGATAGGCCAGTCGAAGAGATGGAATTTAAGCAAGGCAAAAAGACAAGAAAATTGTGACTGGGAAGAAGGAGGGAAGGAAAAGCAATCACAGTGGATTAAAAAGACTTTGTCATGTGAGCTTTCATCCTAGGAAAAGCCAAGATCTGATTGGAAAGATGTTGAATTCTGCCCTGTGTCATGTCTGTCCTCCTCCCACCACCACTTCGCTCCCCCATGTGGTTTTTTGGGTTTTTAACTGCAAAAGATTTTGCAGGACTGTGTAAGAGAAGGATGGGTACCAGTTCTTCCACACAAAGCCCATGATGCTTCCAAGTAGAATCTTATTGTAGTCAGTTCTTAGCATGAGAGAGAGACAGACACATGCTTCATCTGTGTTCCCTCAGTTTTTCTGATTCACTCTTCCCTCCACAGACTGTGCTAGACGCATCCAGAAATATGTTACCAGGAAGCTTGGAGAGGACTGGATTTTCTTGATTCTGTTGGGTCTGGTAATGGCGTTGGTGAGCTGGGGAATGGATTATGCCAGTGCGAAGAGCCTACAGGGTGGGTCCCATTCAGGTGTTGCAAAAGCACTGTAAACGACACGACTGTTTTACAAAGCCCACTGACATTGTTATTCCTCCTTTAACATCAGTGTTCCCATCCTCACCCCTTGTTGCCTGGGAAGTTTGAAGTACTTGCAACATAGGAGAGAAAAGGTTAACCAGGGAGGGGTTCTTTAAAGGGATGGCAGGAACAAATTTCGAAGTAAGGAAGCAGAAACAAAGGATATGTGTATGAGGAGGCAAACCACTATTTTTACTGCCTTTCCCTCCTGCTCCCTTGAATATGTAGGGGCACAGGGAAGTGGTACTGCGGTCCTTTCTACTATACTAGTTTCCATCCTTCCCAGGGATATTGAGCACATGAGGCATGGGGAGGGGAAAGGATT